AAGGTTAAGTTCAGCAGGCTAAACGGGAAATAAATAATTTCGACATTCCTACAATGTAGTTTTCAGTAAATGCAGGTGAAATTTTAGTGGTCATGTTGGAAAATAAATACCCAGATGTATACTCTAGACAGAAGTTAAGTGTATGAAATTTCGGTAATGTACGTTGGGTAACTGCATACTGTAACAAACATACTGTAACAAACATACTGTAACAAACATACTGTAACAAACATACTGTAACAAACATACTGTAACAAACATACTGTAACAAACATACTGTAACAAACATACTGTAACAAACATACTGTAACAAACATACTGTAACAAACATACTGTAACAAACATACTGTAACAAACATACTGTAACAAACATATTGTAACAAACATACTGTAACAAACATACTGTAACAAACATACTGTAACAAACATACGGGTGTATAGTTGTACTGTGTAAAACATAAGAACTTTATAATCGAGCATAAAATACAAAGAAAATATTTCTGCAAAATAAAAAAAAGCTTATCTAACAGGAAGGTCATATGCAGGTCTATTAACAGAAGATATACATTGATACCTGCATTACTATTAGCAAGATATAGAAAGTAAAACAGAGGCAGAAAACACATGGGAAAAGACGAAGTACATGGGAAGACCAAGTTGCAAAATGTCTTTTGGCCTACATCGAGGCTATCTGTTGACAAGGACTAATTAGAGTCCTGGTCACCTTTGTTTTTAGGCTATTGTGGCAATGAGAGTGGACTCTGTTTTCTACTCTTTCCGCTCACAATGTCGGCCTGGGAAAATAGTTGACGATTTTTTAATGCTTCGGTGCAAAACTTTTCGAGTTTAGCTTTCCCCATAACTAATGCTGTGCTACTGCCAACATTTAGTGATCCATGGTCAGCCGGTCGTAATTAATATCATGCTAGTTAAGCGACAAATGTTGCTATATTGAATCCTGAGTAACAGTGTCGCCCATGTAGCAGGATTTATCAAGTCACGAATGTCTATCCTAGTATCAGAGTTCCAGTGATCACAGCCAGCTATGGCAGTATGTCTCACCAGCCATGACAGTATATCTCACCAGCCATGACAGTATATCTCACCAGCCATGACAGTATATTTCACCAGCCATGACAATATATCTCACCAGCCATGACAGTATATCTCACCAGCCATGGCAGTATATCTCACCAGCCATGACAGTATATCTCACCAGCCATGACAGTATATCTCACCAGCCATGACAGTATATCTCACCAGCCATGACAATATATCTCACCAGCCATGACAGTATATCTCACCAGCCATGGCAGTATATCTCACCAGCCATGACAGTATATCTCACCAGCCATGGCAGTATATCTCACCAGCCATGACAGTATATCTCACCAGCCATGACAGTATATCTCACCAGCCATGACAATATATCTCACCAGCCATGACAGTATATCTCACCAGCCATGGCAGTATATCTCACCAGCCATGGCAGTATATCTCACCAGCCATGACAGTATATCTCACCAGCCATGACAGTATATCTCACCAGCCATGACAGTATATCTCACCAGCCATGACAATATATCTCACCAGCCATGACAGTATATCTCACCAGCCATGACAGTATATCTCATCAGCCATGGCAGTATATCTCACCAGCCATGACAGTATATCTCACCAGCCATGACAGTATATCTCACCAGCCATGACAGTATATCTCACCAGCCATGACAGTATATCTCACCAGCCATGACAATATATCTCACCAGCCATGACAGTATATCTCACCAGCCATGGCAGTATATCTCACCAGCCATGACAGTATATCTCACCAGCCATGACAGTATATCTCACCAGCCATGACAATATATCTCACCAGCCATGACAGTATATCTCACCAGCCATGACAGTATATCTCATCAGCCATGGCAGTATATCTCACCAGCCATGGACAGTATATCTCACCAGCCATGACAGTATATCTCACCAGCCATGACAGTATATCTCACCAGCCATGACATATATCTCACCAGCCATGACATATATCTCACCAGCCATGACAGTATATCTCACCAGCCATGGCAGTATATCTCACCAGCCATGACAGTATATCTCACCAGCCATGACAGTATATCTCACCAGCCATGACAGTATATCTCACCAGCCATGACAGTATATCTCACCAGCCATGACAGTATATCTCACCAGCCCTACAATGCATCTAGACAACCACTTCAGTGTACTGTGTCAGCCTCTGTACTGTACCTAGATGAACTGCTAGTTTTGGGAAAATGCTAATCCGATCGGTTGTTAAATTTTGGAGTTTCAACGTTTGCAGCAGAGGAAAGTTTCGGTATTCTGTATCTGTGATACATCAGCCTTTGTTTGGTAGCATAATGTATTGTTATTGTATCACTTTCAACCTACAATAATTCTTCATATTTGAATGTGAATTATTTTTTTAGTATTTTAAAAGTTTAAATAAGATCTTTCAGTGTCTCTTTTGTAAGTGAAACATAATAAGTAATTTTAATCTGTCTTCCAGTAGTGTTTCTTAACGACAAAAAAAAAGTTTTCTTGTCTTTCTCTTCAACTTCAATAGTTTAACGTCATCTTTTACGGACTCTGAAGACTCTGAGAAACTTTGCTTATTTTGTGCTTAAAGTTCCTAACTTCAAGCATAAAGTTTTTTATAAAATTTCTTTAGATGCTTCAGTGTGTCAGTACATCCAGCTTCAGTTATGTGTTATATTTAGTACTTTTGTTTTTGATACTCGGAAGAGAGTTTTGTAAACACAGCCACCACCACCCATCACTTGTTTATGTAATATAGGGAAGGAAACCTTGAGATATTAGTTCAGTGGGTTAGTAACCCAGGATCATTCAGTGGGTTAGTAACCCAGGATCATTCAGTGGGTTAGTAACCCAGGATCATTCAGTGGGTTAGTAACCCAGGATCATTCAGTGGGTTAGTAACCCAGGATCATTCAGTGGGTTAGTAACCCAGGATAATTCAGTGGGTTAGTAACCCAGGATAATTCAGTGGGTTAGTAACCCAGGATCATTCAGTGGGTTAGTAACCCAGGATAATTCACTGGGTTAGTAACCCAGGATAATTCACTGGGTTAGTAACCCAGGATAATTCTATGGGTTAGTAACCCAGGATAATTCAGTGGGTTAGTAACCCAGGATCTTTCTATGGGTTAGTAACCCAGGATAATTCAGTGGGTTAGTAACCCAGGATAATTCACTGGGTTAGTAACCCAGGATAATTCACTGGGTTAGTAACCCAGGATAATTCTATGGGTTAGTAACCCAGGATAATTCTATGGATGAGTAACCCAGGATAATTCTATGGGTTAGTAACCCAGGATAATTCAATAGGTTAGTAACCCAAGATAATTCAATGGGTTAGTAACCCAAGATAATTCTATGGATTAGTAACCCAGGATAATTCACTGCATTAGCTACCCAGGATAATTCAGTGGGTTAGTAACCCAGGATAATTCAAGAAACCCAATTACTGGCCTATTTTCACTGGGGCATTTTGGCCTTCTTTATCAGGAAACGATCCGCAGCAGTTGGCTAACATCCTGATATCTATTGAACAGGAGAAAAATGAATAAGGACAAATAACCAGCGTCTCCACTCACCCCAAGATGGATCTTTGCGGTCGTGAGCCGATGGTGTTATCACTTATCCACCGGCCACTTAAAATTGTCTAGCAGGCTTTTTAGTGTTTGTGTAAATGTTTCAGTGAGAGCTATGGAGTTGGTGTTATCTGCATGTGGCAGTACAGGCTTAGAAGTTTATATTTCTCTGTAAGTTACGTGTCAAAACTGACTTTCCGGATTTATGTCCAGACTGTGTTTGTGCATGTGTGTGTGTGTGTGTGGAGAGAGAGAGAGAGAGAGAGAGAGAGAGAGAGAGAGAGAGAGAGAGAGAGAGAGAGAGAGAGAGAGAGAGAGAGAGAGAGAGAGAGAGAGAGAGAAGAGAAAGAGAGAGAGAGAGAGAGAGAGAAAGAGAGAGAGAGAGAGAGAGAGAGAGAGAGAGAGAGAGAGAGAGAGAGAGAGAGAGAGAGAGAGAGAAAGTGACTAAGGTGTTAAGCAATGGTGAGGAGAGGTGGAAAAAAACATTAATAAAAACTAAAAAAAAATGTGAGAAAAAAATATTTTTTATTGCCATATCAAAATTAGGAAATTAAACATGGAAAGCTTGCCATAGAAGATTTATATAAAATAAATAATGCATTAAGAAAAATGTAAATTCACAAAAATATCCAATAATAGGATGGATTGTGATGCTGTTGAGGGGTTAAAAATTAATTGATGATGATCCTGAGATAGTGAAGAATGTGATGATGGGGTGAAAGTACGAAAACGAAGGAGGAAGAGGAAAAAGAGGAAGAACAGTAAGACGAGGATAAAATTACGGAAGTGTTGGGCGGAGAAGAGAGGGACGAGAACGATGATTATAGTAAAGAGAAATGAAGTTAAGGAGGAGGAAGAGAGAGGAGGACAATTATAACGATGGTAAATAAAGATGGTAAATAGGAGGAAAGTGAAAAATTAAGAGAATACTGGAAAGGAAGGAAATTTGACGAGGAAATGAATAAAGGGAGACGAATAAAGTTGGGGAAGAAGTGATGGTAGAGGGAGAATAATATATACGTATATTGATTTTGATGAGAATGAATGGTATGACAAAATTGTATATCATATAACAATAATAAGAGTAAAATAATAATAACAATAATAATAATAATAATAATAATAATAATAATAATAATAATAATAATAATAATAATAATAATAATAATAATAATAATAGTAATAATAAATTATAATAACAGGAAAAATAATAAACTAAAATAACGAAATATATTATTTAAGCAGGAAAAACTAAAGAGACTCCAAATTAACCAAGACGGTAGTAAGTAGAATATTTTGTTACGTGTTAAAGTAATCAAGAGATGTTAAGGCGGATGTTGGAACACTGACTTTGATGTCGCCTGCGTCGGGTCGCAGCCTCCAGCGGACAACACCAGTGTCTCGGGTGAAGAACTCTAGGTAATTCTTCTATATTTATACCGCCGTATATGGAACCTGGGGAATATTTAGTGGTAAATTAGTTCAGTCTTATTTTTCCTTATTTTATCTATTATATCCTCCTTATTTTATATACAGTTTGGGTTGCTTAATATTCATTTTTCTGAAATCGGTTTGGTGGAAAAGGCGTCTCGATGTGTGTTCAGTCTGGCGATCGAGGGAAGTAATAGGCGGCTCCAGGAACTACATCTCAACACCATCAAGCTCTAATGGGTTATTTCACACCTCTCAAGGGAAGCTGGAGGAAGTGTGAAGGATAACTCAACCTATATGAATAATAAGGAATGGCAATCGTGCGTTAATGAAGCATAATGTTCTGTAGTTACCCATTAATGCATAGGTCATTGTTGGTAACGACCTTGGCGAGGGTGACAGTGGTGATGTGTGGGTAAGGTCAGTAGTGAGGGTGACAGTGGTGATGTGTGGGTAAGGTCAGTAGTGAGGGTGACAGTGGTGATGTGTGGGGTAAGGTCAGTAGTGAGGGTGACAGTGGTGATGTGTGGGTAAGGTCAGTAGTGAGGGTGACAGTGGTGATGTGTGGGTAAGGTCAGTAGTGAGGGTGACAGTGGTGATGTGTGGGTAAGGTCAGTAGTGAGGGTGACAGTGGTAATGTGTTGGTAAGGACGGTAGTAAGGGTGACGGTGGTGGTGTGTTGGTAAGGACGGTAGTAAGGGTGACAGTGGTGGTGTGTTGGTAAGGACGGTAGTAAGGGTGACAGTGGTGGTGTGTTGGTAAGGACGGTAGTAAGGGTGACAATGGTGATGTGTTGGTTACGACGGTAGTGAAGGTGACAGTGGTGATGTGTGGGTAAGGTCAGTAGTGAGGGTGACAGTGGTGATGTGTGGATAGGGTCAGTAGTGAGGGTGACAGTGGTGATGTGTGGGTAAGGTCAGTAGTGAGGGTGACAGTGGTGGTGTGTTGGTAAGGTCAGTAGTGAGGGTGCAGTGGTGGTGTGTTGGTAAGGTCAGTAGTAAGGTGACAGTGGTGGTGTGTTGGTAAGGACGGTAGTAAGGATGACAATGGTGATGTGTTGGTTACGACGGTAGTGAAGGTGACAGTGGTGATGTGTGGGTAAGGTCAGTAGTGAGGGTGACAGTGGTGATGTGTGGGTAAGGTCAGTAGTGAGGGTGACAGTGGTGGTGTGTTGGTAAGGTCAGTAGTGAGGGTGACAGTGGTGGTGTGTTGGTAAGGACGGTAGTAAGGGTGACAATGGTGATATGTTGGTTACGACGGTAGTGAAGGTGACAGTGGTGATGTGTGGGTAAGGTCAGTAGTGAGGGTGACAGTGGTGGTGTGTTGGTAAGGACGGTAGTGAAGGTGACAGTGGTGATGTGTGGGTAAGGTCAGTAGTGAGGGTGACAGTAGTGGTGTGTTGGTAAGGACGATAGTAAGGGTGACAGCGGTGGTGTGTTGGTAAGGACGATAGTAAGGGTGACAGCGGTGGTGTGTTGGTAAGGACGATAGTAAGGGTGACAGCGGTGGTGTGTTGGTAAGGACGGTAATGAGGGTGACATTGGTGGTGTGTTGGTTAGGACGGTAGTGAAGGTGACAGTGGTGGTGTGTTGGTAAGGACGGTAGTGAGGGTGACAGTGGTGGTGTGTTGGTAAGGTCAGTAGTGAAGGTGACAGTGGTGGTGTGTTGGTAAGGACGGTAGTGAGGGTGACAGTGGTGGTGTGTTTGTAAGGAGGGTAGTAAGGGTGACAGTGGTGTGTTGGTAAGGACGGTAGTGAGAGCTACATTGGTGGTGTGTTGGTAAGGACGGTAGTGAAGGTGACAGTGGTGGTATGTTGGTTAGGACGGTAGTGAGGGTGACAGTGGTGATGAGTTGGTAAGGAGGGTAGTAAGGGTGATAGTGGTGATGTGTTGGTTAGGACGGTAGTGAGGGTGACAGTGGTGATGTGTTGGTTAGGACGGTAGTAAGGGTGACAGTGATGGTGTGTTGGTTAAGACGGTAGTGAGGGTGACAGTGGTGGTGTGTTGGTTAGGACGGTAGTGAGGGTGACAGTGGTGGTGTGTTGGTAAGGACGGTAGTGAGGGTGACAATGGTGATGTGTTGGTTAGGACGGTAGTGAGGGTGACAGTGGTGGTGTGCTGGTTAGGACGGTAGTGAGGGTGACAGTGGTGGTGTGTTGGTTAGGACGGTAGTGAGGGTGACAGTGGTGATGTGTTGGTAAGGACGGTAGTGAGGGTGACAGTGGTGATGTGTTGGTAAGGAAGGTAGTGAGGGTGACAATGGTGATGTGTTGGTAAGGACGATAGTGAGGGTGACAATGGTGATGTGTTGGTAAGGACGGTAGTGAACGTGACACTAAAGGGTGTTGATGGTAAGGACGGTAGTGAAGGTGACATTAACGGTGTTGATTGTAAGGACGCTGGTCAGAATGAGAGCAAATAACGTTCTCGTGGGAACGTGTAACTCCCAGTGTATTCCTGACTGTATTTTCTGGTGCAATTCACTTCCTAAAGAAACTAGATATGATTATGCCTTGGAGGCCAGCTATCACTTAAGCCGGTTGGTAAAAGTTAAGAGGCGGGGACAGGAGATGTGGCTCTACCACTACAAACACAATTATGTGGGTGCAAATTGAAAACATACCATAGGTTAAGTGCATTTTTGTCTAATTCAGCCTTACTGTGTACTTGAGGCATTTATATCTCCTGTAAGTTATACCGTGTGTTCGCTATGTTTTTCTGAATCTCAGAGTTGGACACCCACGTGCATCGATCTGGTGGCGTGAGCGATCGATTAAAACATACACACTGTCTAGTGAGTATATGCCATAGCTTCATTGCTCTTTGTCATTCAGCCTCACATCTGACCTAGTTCCAGGGTCTAAATTGGTCATATTACTTGGTATAATACCATGGTTCCTTTGAGTGTCAGAAGTGTTCCACTTCTAACGCCTCTCTGTTGCGATGTGCACGATCGATTAATACTTACGAACACTGTCTAGTGAGAGCATCTCCGGCATCCTGCTAACTTTATAACTGCGATCGTTGCCATTTTTCACATCCACTGTCCCTCTTGATAACACTTCCTTGTGTAGTCCCAGCACGGCTCAACCTACAAGACGTATCCATGCGGGTTATGGGTAAGAGAATTCTAGCACCTATAGCAGTAGGTGACAAGAGTGGTGTGGAGGGGTGGCTCTCGTGGTAGAGTTGGGTCTGGCTGATACTGCTCATTGTATGGGTGTCCAGTCAGGTCGCTCGCCAGAGGTGTCAAGTTCCTCGTTCAGGGGCAGCGCCCTGGACACGGACTCTTCCCTCTCTCTCCCTGGCTAATCCTCCCCACAACCTTAAGGTCTCTGGGTACACCACACTTCGTTACAGAGTAAATTAATTACAGAAATTTGTCAGAGTTATTCTTTGTGTGGTGCAGGGAACTTTATTAGGTGTGGATCTGAGTTTCATTGTGTTATTGCTTCTACAAGACTGTCCCAGTGGATGTGAAGAGCTGTGCGTTCATAATAAGGACGGTGGGAATGAATAATAGTGGACGTGCTCGTGTAGAATATTGTGTGTGTGTGTGTGTGTGTGTTTGTGTGTGTGTGTGTGTGTGGTGTGTGTGTGTGTGTGTGTGTGTGTGTGTGGTGCTGGCACAAACAAGTTTCCACAGAGACTCCACCTCGTATATCTAGTGGTGTGTCACTTGAGAGTGGTATAACGTGGTGTACAATGGTAGGCAGGAAGAGGCAGATGGTAACAAGATGAAGTGAGAATTGAGGTAAGGATTGCTGTACAAGAGGCAAGTGTGGAAGGTAGCGTGCATGTCTGAGCGAGAGACGAGGTAGGTGAAGTATAACAGACGGGTGTGATAGGGAACCATGGGTAGCGTGTATGTGTGCGTATAGTCAGGTGAATCTATGATCTCGCATCATCTCTACAGGAAATAATTATCGCTGATTATTTTAATACTGACCCATCATTTTACTTCTCAAGGAGATGGAATGAGAAGAGAACTAGTGGAAGACACAAGGAATGAGTACGAAAAATGACAGAAAAATTCGAGTGGTGAACTGAGATAAATAATATACGAAGTGGGAGGAAAGTCCTGAAGAGTAGATGGAAAAGATAAGATAATACAAGGGAGGTAGGTGGGAATAAAAGGAAGGGAACTGATAAAGCAAAGGCGAGCGGAAGGGAAAGTTAAGGGAAGGGAGTAAATGGGAGACAGAGAGAGTAAAGGGTATGGAGGAGGGAGAATAAAATAAAATAATAATATTTCCTCCTGGATTTTTATCACAACACATCAGTCACTAAAGCACAATAATATATCCACAGAATCTTTCCTCAATGGTTAAACCAAATCAATAAATGTATTGATATCAAAAATACATTTCACACTCCATAGTATCTTCGTAGTCAAGAATAAAGGAAGTTTTTCTAGATATAAATAAGTTACTAATGATTATACTCACAAGAGTATTAAGGCATCTATTCATTTATTGTGGCACTTATACAGTTATTTTAGTATTTACAGAATTAATACAATAGTTATACAGGGATTGCTGAACTTACACAAGGATAAAGGCATTAAATTTTATAATTGTTATATCGATCGTCCTGTAGTCAACACATTAAAAATATTTCAGTAGGTCAGATACAGAATATAGTGTAAGTCGATACTCGTAGTGTCAAACCCTTAATGCTGGTGAAAAGCTCTTGATCCGAGGTAACTGGGGCTAGCCTTCTTTACCCTCGAATTTAACTTGATTGTCTCACTTTCTCAATGATTATAATAAATAATGGTTTGATTCAACATATTTTTTTCTTGCGATCAGTCCAGAAAATTAATGTAAATAAATGGGAATAATAATTCTAGAATTACTGACAAAATGTTAGGTAAAAGAACACAGATGCAACTAATTTGACATTTTATTGTGGCAATGTTTAGCTCTCCAGGAGCTTTGTCAAGCTGTAACAGCTTGACAAAGTTCCTGGAGAGCGAAACGTTGCCACAATAATCTGTCACATTAGTTGCATGTGTTCTTTTA